GCCCACCGCGCGGTCTGCGGTCTGGGATCTGCAGTCATCCTGCTGGTGTCTCAGGAAGTGGGGAGAGTTGTGTCAAAACCACAGGCTGGCACCGCAGGCTGGCCGGTGCAGACCACAGCCTGGGGGCGGGGGGCGTGCAGGCCAGCTCCCGGGGTGCTCGGCCTGCCCCACAGCCGGGCTCGGTGCCCGTGGCCTCTGACGTCTCTGCCGACCCGTCCACTCAGCCCCGCGAGGAGCCCCCTTACGGGCAGGCACGGGGCTGCCTTGTGAGTGTGGCCTCTTACTTAACACAGGTTCTTTCCCATTTTCCTCTGCTGGAAACACGAAAGCTCAGAATTCGTGGTTTTCTCTAAAAGCGACGATTTGTTTGCTAAGCACCTCGCTAGCTCGTGGCTCGGAGGCGCCCTTGCTCCGGGCTCTGCTGGGGCTGTGGTGGGGGCAGAAGGGCACGCAGTGCCCAGGGAGGGAGGCACCACCGTCTGCCCCGGGCCCCTGTCTGGGCTGCCTGGACACCGTCCAGGCGGTGGTTCCCGCCGTGGACATGGATGTGGCCCCATCCTCTGCTCTGCACAGAAGCAGCCAAGCTGTGCTGACCGTGGGCACACGGGCGAGTGAGGAAGGAGCCGGGGGTCTTCAGGCGGCAACCGGCCGACCCCAGGAGTGGACTGGGCAGGCGGGTGGGGGGCTGGGCCCTGAGCCCCCGCAGGCCCACCCCATGGGCTGCTGGGCGCCCCGCCCCGTGCCCCTATGCCCCACCCTGTTCCCGCTGCCCACGGGTACCTCCTGAGATCCCGAGGTCCCGCGGGTGCCCGGGGCAGAGGGCAGTCCCGAGCTGGCCGAGGGGCACTGTCCCAGCGAGGACCAGGCCGCCCTGCACCTGCCTCTTGGGCATGGGAGCCGTGCAGCTTTCCCGGGTCTGGCCGGTGCCAGCCTGGAGGTGGACAGGTGTGGGAGGGCTTCTCGCGGACGGGCCTGTATGTGGGGAGCCTGTCTCGGGAGGCTGTGACGGTTACAAACACTGGACTCTGCCCAGGGCTTGGGGGCTCTCTGTCAGACTCCGTGGAGAAGGTCCATGGCAGTGAGGCCTTGAGGGGTCTGTCTCAGACGGTGGGCGGCCCTGTTACTGTCCCGGGGCCCTTGCAGGCCCCCCTCGAGCTGGTCCGGAGACACCCGTGGGGCACAGCCCCAAGGCTGCTGGAGGGGTGACCGAGGGCCTTTGTGGGTTTGCGGCAGCTCTCGCTGGGGGCTGCNTGCAGTTTTGGGGGTGCCCTGTGGTGTCGGGGGCTCCCTGCAGTGTCGGGGGCTCCCTGCAGTGTTGGGGGGCTCCCTGCGGTGTCGGGGGCTCCCTGCAGTGTTGGGGGGCGCCCTGTGGTGTCGGGGGCTCCCTGCGGTGTCGAGGGCGCCCTGAGGTGTCGGGGGCTCCCTGCAGCACTGGGGGCTCTCTACATTGTGGGGGGCTCCCCAGAGTGTCAGGGGCACCCTGCAGTGTTGGGGGCTCCCTGTGGAGTTGGGGGGCTCCCTGTGGTGTTGGGGGCTCCCTGCAACGTGGGGGCCCTGGGCAGACTGCTCGGGCCGGGGGCCCTGGCGGGCACCAGCCCTGCTGCCCCCTCACCTGGCGCCCCTCTGCTCTCTCTGCAGTGAACCTGGACCACTTCCAGATCCTGCGTGCCATCGGGAAGGGCAGCTTCGGCAAGGTAAGGCCGCGGGCGGGGCAGACTGGACGCGTGTGGGCTGGGCCGGCCGCCTGGGTCTGCTGGAGGGTATGCCTCCCGCAGGGCAGGCCAGCGATGCTAGAGGCCTCGGGTGGGCTGTCGGAGAGCCCGCCACCGCTAGGCTCTCCTGGCCCAGGTCTCTGGGCTCTTGTAGCTCAGCTCACCCTCAGCCGAGCTGGGGGTGCAGATGGCGTGCCCCTGGGTTCTTCTGGGGCCGAGACCCTGAGGTCCACTCACCCTTCAGGCGAGCCCCTTTCTATAGCAGTGGGCAGAGCGGCCCAAGGCCCGGGTGGGAAGTGCTTAAGAAGCCGCTCCGTGGGGGGCTGGTCCCCCGCATCTGGAGTGGCAGTGACACTGGAGCCCAGAGGCCAGGCCTGCGCTGAGCCGCCCCTCCAGGCGGGCAGGGGCAGGACCCAGGTGGCGGCCACGCCGCCCTGCCCCACACAGGCCGCCCAAGCCCGTTCTCCACTTTCTCTTGGCCGGATCCAAGCTCCTGATTGCAGCCTTATCCTGCCTGGAGATCAGGGGTAATTATAACTCCAAGAGGCTGAACAAGTCTCTGCAAAGGTTAGAATTAGCTCCCGGGACTCTGCCTGATGGGCCTGCTGTAAATGAGTCACTTCTGAAAGGACAGTAGCTTTTCGGCTCTGAGGCTGGGGCGGAGGAGGCAGCTGCCACCCCGTGGTTCAGCCCTGGAGGCTCGTGTGGGCGCCGGGTCGCCCTTGCCCACCCCCACATCCCTGCGCCACAGTCACTGCTGCCTCGGGTTACAGGCCGGGGGTGTAAGCCAGAGAAACGAGCCCCCTGGCACAGTTAGGCTGAAGTGTTCCGTGCTCCAGGGGGTGAGGACTGCTACCACCTCTGGGGCCAGGACCCAACTGTTGGACCCTGGCCTTTTGTCGGTTGTGCAGAGGCAGTTGATCCAAAGATGAGGTTCTTGGTTGGTGAGTGTGTCAGACTTTGATGGCACCTGGGACAGTCTCTGCCACCTGGCCTCTCCCAGCGGAGCACGGGGGCGTGGGACATGAGTGGCAGGGGAGTGGGTGGGCAGGTGGGGCCTAGAGGAAGCTGCCTCCCCCACCAGGGGAAAGGCAGGACGTCAGCCAAGACCAGGTTTGGGAGGGATGGCTTCGGGATCAACCAGATGTTCCCAAAGCGGGCCTGGGAAGGAGATTGGGGACCCTCGGGGCAAAGACTGACCAGGAGAGGTGAGGCTGGTGGGCCTGGTGCTGTGTTCCATGCCCCACTCCCAGCCCCAGGCTGGGCTCTCTGCACCTCTGCCCGGGGATGGTCCTCCCGCCTCACGAGCACAGTGGGCCGCCCTTCTGCCCGCAGCCGCCACCGACCCCAGGATTCTGGCTCCTCCAGCCAGGTCTTGGCTTTGAAAAGCAGGGTCCCAGAGATGGGTTTGTGTGGGGTGGAGAGACAGGAGGGTCCCAGAGATGGGGCTGGTGGAGTGGGATGACAGGAGGGACCCAGAGATGGGGCTGGTGGAGTGGGGTAACTAGAGGGAGTGTGGGGTTCTGCCAGGGTTTTAGCTCAGATGCAAGTCACCGTGTATTTGGAGGGCAGCTTCCTGCTTCCTAATTGGGCCCCCAATCAGGCCTCCAGGGGTCCCTGGGCCGCAGGGCTAGGTGCCAGGGCATGTCTGGAACGTGGGCTCTGGCCCCTTCGCTCTCCGCGTGGCTGGGGCGGTGACCCCACCCGGAGAGGGGTGAGGACTTGGAGTCTGCTCCCATGTGCAGGCAGGCTTGCATGTCCCATGTGCAGGCAGGCTTGCATGTGCAGCTGTCTGCACGTGGCCTTGTTTCAGAGGGTGTGGGAGGGCTCAGGCATGCCCAGATGCCCGGTGAAGACTGGCCTTAGGGACTGCTGGGAGCCACCTTCGACCCAGTGGGTGTGAAGGGCAGCCGCACCGGACGCGCCCCTCCACCCCCCGAAGGATGCAGGCACAGGGGTTGGTGTGTCGTGTGAGCTGTCTGTCCGCGGCGAGGTGGCCGGTCACCCCCTTTGGGGGAGAGTGCCTGGAGATGGATTATGCAAATGTGCCGTATCGGGTCCCGAGGGCAAGACTGGACATCGTGTCTGGTTTTGTTTCCAGTCTTTTACGACAGTAAATTTCCCATCACATAAAAGGTGCCGTCCGAGCCGGGTTTAAGCGCACAGCTCAGCGGCATTAAGCGCCTCCCTTCTGTCATGTGGCCGTCACCCTGTCACCCCNTTTGTTTCCAGTCTTTTACGACAGTAAATTTCCCATCACATAAAAGGTGCCGTCCGAGCCGGGTTTAAGCGCACAGCTCAGCGGCATTAAGCGCCTCCCTTCTGTCATGTGGCCGTCACCCTGTCACCCCAGGGCTCTCTGCATCGGGTAGAACTGAACCTCTGCACCCTGAGAACAAACCCCGTCCTCCCCTAAGCGCCAAGTTCTAGGAGAAATCATCTCCCAGGTTAGAGGGCTTTGCTCTCTGAGGCAGAACAGAAGCCGTGAATGGTGAGAACCCAGCCCGCGCTGGTGTGCGGGCGGATGGGGCTCTGTCACCCGGTCATCTGGGTCATCTTGGCCACCCGGCTGCACGAGGAAGCCGGCCTTCCTCAGAGCAGAGAGGCCGGGCAGGAGTGGAGCTGCCCGCCGGCCACTTCCCATCCAGCTCCAGGTCCCCATGCAGTGCTGGGTGCTGGGGGCTCCCCTGGCCGTGCCTGCGGGATGTGGAGCTGGGCGCCCCCAGCCGTGGGCCTCCGGGGGCTGGGTGAACACCGCAGGCAGCTGGGCTGTGGGCCCGCGTGGGCTGCCTTCGTGTCAATACCTGAAATCTCAGACTGCAAGGGACACCTCGGTCCAGAGAGCTGAGAGGGGGTGACAGACATGATCGGGTGTCCTCAGGGCGCAGACGGGTAGGGCTGACTGGTCCCCAGGGTGGCCGGGCCCGCTCATGGTCTCTGCCCTCCTGGGCCGGCTCTCCCCAGCTCAGCTCAAGGTGACCGCCAGGCAGGCGTGGGGCCCTGGGGGTCAAACCTCTGCCTCTGGGGCCCCTGGGGAGTCTGAGCACGGCCAGGCTTAGCCAGCTACCCCCTCAAGCAGGTCTCTGGGAAACCACCATTGTAAAGAAGTGGTTATTATGAATGGTAAACTACGAGCATATTAATTTTTGTCTACAAAGGCTGGTCGCCCAAAAGCAGAAATGTCGGTAGAGCTGGACTGCGTGTGGACGCCCCAGCCCTGCCTCCCTTCCTGCTCCCCGCCCTTCCTCCCTTCCCAGCCTGGCCTGGCCTGCGGCTGCCCTGGGGAACCTCAGACCACCCCAGGCTGAGGGGTGGGAACCCCAGCCCCGTGGACCAGGCTGAGGCCCCAGACCGCCGCCTCTGCCGGCCCGCCTGCTGGGGCTGGCGTGTGGAGTCTTCACCTCTGCCCCAGAATCCGGGTCTGGCCATGGGATTGGCAGTGGCTTCATCTCTGCTGAGTTCATGAACACCAGGGTGGCTCCAGCCACAGGCCTGGGGGGTCCTATGGGTGAGGGAGGGAGGACCCCCTCATCCTGTGCTAGGGAGCCCCCTGCCCACCTCCCTCCCGCAAGGCGAGCTCTCCTCCGTACCCTGGATACCTCCTCGTAAGGACCTCACCCTCAGATTTCTTTCTTCTAAACATGTCCCTCCTCCCCCTTCCAGCTGGGGGTCCACTGGGGTTCAGTCCTTGGCTTTGAGAAGCCCCCGGCCCCCACCTGTCACCGGATCGAGAACGCCTCCACCCCACCCCTGGGCCCTGAGCTGGCGTGGGCACAGCTCTCGGGAAGCTCAGCTGCTCTGCCCACCCCAGCCTGTGGACGGTGCCCAGCAGGGCCTGCAGGAGAGCTCTGGGCTTTCCAGGGTGCCCGCCGACCCCTGGGCCCCGTGGCAGCTCCGCTTCCCTGGAGGACGGACCGCTTCCTCTCCGTCACCTCTCCGGCTGCCCTGGGGCCCGACTCGGGAGCTGTGGCCTCCGTGCTCTCGTCTCCTGGAGCCCCCGCCGGTCTGTGCATCCGCCGCCTGGACCCCTGTCTCCCTGCCTGTGGCCCAGGCGAGCCTGACGTGTGGCCGCCCTCCAGGCCTCTCTGTTCCCGGCTGCCCTGTTTTCCACATGTGTGGCCACGGGCCCCTGACCCAGGACTTACGGGGCTCCCGTGGGGAGGGGCCTGGGGGAAAGAGTCTGCCTGCCTGCGGCCAAGCCCTGCCTCCTTCCGGGGCCGTCGGGGAACCTGGAAGGGCCCAGTTCATCCTTCAGGCTGCACCCAGGGTCCAGCTGCCTGCAGCAAGCCCTGTATTCAGTGGCTCCTAGGAAGTAGGGTTCTTTCCAAGTGTGACAGGCGTAAGCCACACCCACAAGCCTGGGCCTCCCCAGTTCTGTCCAGTTGAACGACCTGGCTGTAGTTTACTCCAAGGCGGATCATTTAAGGTGGAATAGTTAAGACTTAGAAAAAAATCGGTCTATTTTTCTCTAGGTGCTGGAGATGGCCCAGCCTTCAAATGGGCCCCTGCCCCTGCTGTGTGTCTGTGTGTGTCTGTGTGTACATGCGTGTGTACCTGTGTGTGCCTGCGTGTGCACATGTGTGTGTCTGTGTGTGCCTGTGTGTCTCTCTGTGTGTCCGTGCGTGTGTACCTGCGTGTGCACATGTGTGCGCCTGTGTGTCTCTGTGTGTGTCCGTGCGTGTGTACCTGTGTGTGCACATGTGTGTGCCTGCGTGTGTGCACGTGTGTCTCTGTGTGTGTCCGTGCGTGTGTACCTGTGTGTGCCTGTGTGTGCGCACATGTGTGTGTCTCTGTGTGTGTGCCTGTGTGTCTCTGTGTTACGTGCGTGTGCACATGTGTGTGTCTGTCTGTGTGTCTGTGTGTCTCTGTGTGTGTCCGTGCATGTGTACCTGTGTGTGCCTGCATGTGTGCACATGTGTGTGTCTCTGTGTGTCCGTGCGTGTGTACCTGTGTGTGCCTGCGTGTGTGCACATGTGTGTGTC